GTGTTAGGTTCAAGTGGATATTTGTGATCTCAAGGTCTTGACTTTACTTTTTCACAAATAAATTAAGGAAAATCTTATGTAATACTTTCAGAACTAAAAATAGCTCAGTGACAATTAAATTCTAAATCTAAGTACAAAATTCGGAATGATGCCATGTATTTCATTAATAGCTTTACAGTTTGGCTTCTTTATCCTGAGATGTGTAGTGAAAAAACAAATTATTATGTGACTGGGTTAATTTGAAATGTGTGTTAATTAAGGTGAAATTTTAATGGTTGGTATTTTTGGAAAGTCCATTGTTTGATGACTGAGCTCTTCCTGGACTCAGCTATGGGGTGCTGAAGTTAGAGCAAAGCTTGAGCTGGGGTATAAGTGGTGACCTAGTGGGTGTTTGGTAATAGTATTTCCTTCCCTCAAACTATTTTTTCTATAGAGTTAATATCTTTTACCTGACTGCCAGGTTTTTATATGTGGACTTTGTATAGAATTTATACCTTTTGACCACACAGCCAGGTTTTTATATATGCTTTTTGAGAAAGAAGGAGAAGCAGGAAGGAAGAGCTGTTATGTATGCTGGCTTATTCCACAAATGGTGACAGCAGCCAGTCTGGGCCAGTTCTCCTAAGTGAGTAGCGAGGGCCTGAATACTTGGGCGTCTTCTGCCTTTCCTGCTGGTGTATTGGCAGGAAGCTGAGTCAGAAACAGAGTAACTGAACCGCCCAACATGGACTGCCAGTGAGGCGAGCTGCAGCTTAACCCATTGTACCACATTGCCAGCGCTTTGTGTGGATTTATTTGTTCTTAAAATCTGCTGTTTTTTATTTTTTAACAAAGATTTATTTATTTACTGGAAAGACAGATGTACAGAGAGGAGGAGAGACAGAAAGGAAGATCTTCCATCCAATGATTCACTCCCCAAGTGGCTGCAATGGCCGGTGCTGCGCCGATCCGAAGCCAGGAGCCAGGAACTTCTTTCCAGGTCTCCCATGCGGGTACAGGGTCCCAAGGCTTTGGGCGGTCCTTGACTGCTTTCCGAGGTCACAAGCAGGGAGCTGGATGGGAAGTGGAGCTGCCGGGATTAAAACCGGCACCCATATGGGATCCCAGAACGTTCAAGGCGAGGACCTTAACCCGCTATTGCGCCGGGCCCAAAATCTGCTTCTTAAATTTAGCTTTGGATGATTGGAGAAAGGAGAGGATTTTTTTTTCCCTTTTTTTTTTTTTGTTCTCTACCAAGAAGTTGTTGGTTAGAGCAATGTCCTGGCAGTAAATAGTGTATCTCAGGATTTGGGAAAATGTGTTGCATAAAAATTCTGCTGTAAAAATAGTGGTTAGGTTTCCATTCTGTAATAAAAATGGTAAATAATGCCTTAGGTGTATCTCATTAACATTTATATCGTTTTGACACTTTCAGACCAGATCATCAGATGCTCATTCCTCGGGATCTTCAGATGCACATGTGAGTAGCAAAGGCAGTGTGTGTGTGTGTGTGTGTGTGTTTTAATTCTTTTATTTTGGTAATCTTACATAGTTGATTAGGGCACAAGGGGTCAAGGGCTACAGGAAAGTGGGTAAGACCATTGTTTCCACATTTTGTTGTTGTTTATATTTTATATAAAAGCTTACATAGTTGATAAGGGTACAAAGGGTCAAGGGCTTCAAGGAAAATGTGTAAGACCATTGTTTCCACACTAATATCATTTTCCCTTGTATCTGGGGTCAGGGGAGAAACAAAGGGAAAAGCCCCACCTGCAACGTCCCACCCATTCCAGGTCCCCATGTGAGACATGCTCCGAGGGTCCTGCTCAAGCAGTTTTGATAGTTCAACAGTTCTGAATTGCTGCCAGTCTCGCCATTCCAAGCATGATGAAATCTATTCAGAATCCACTGGCTGACATAGTCTCTTCATGGTTGGGGTTCTGAGATCAGCAGTTCAGTTGAAGGGATCTCCAAAGAAACTTCGTCTGAGGTGATCCCAGACCTGATTTTTGTGTGTGCTTGCCAGTACATGGTCTAGCACCGTCCGTCGCCCCAATCAGCTTATGTACTTGCTGGTCATTGCAATTGCTGGGTCAGTTCTGTTTCCAGCCCTTTCTTCCACTGGAACCAATGGGTGTAACCAGTGGGTATTGCAGTCCAGCCCAATCCTGCCCACTTCATACTTGACCCTCATGCAAACCAGTGGGAGCTGCAGCCTAGTTGGGGCAACTCCCCATAACTCCTACCAGGCCTGCCCTCTACCCTGGTTCCCATGCTTGCCACTATGTACCACAGACTTGTTCAGTCTGTCCCACATCCCATTTAGCTCTCGTACTTGTCAGTGGGCATTGAAGCCTAGTTCAACCCAACCAACCCTACTATCCAACCCACACACATACTGGCTGGTGCCTTTTTGGCTAGCCACCCTTGACCCATCCTGGTTTTCATGCTCTCCAGTGGGAGTGGTAACCCAAGAGGGAGGTGCCCACTATTTCCCTACTAGGCCACTCCCACTCCTGGATTATGCACTCTCCAGGTGGTTCTGGAGTTTAACTTGACAGATTTAGCCCCCAGTGCCAGCCTCTGCCAGCTGATGCTGCGGCAAAGCCCAACCAACCCTCACCCACTCTAATTTTTGCTTGCACCAGTCAGAACAGTCAGCCCAACCTGACTTTTCTCTGATCTAGCTCACATGAGGCCCACAGGTATTGTAACCCTGCCTAGTCTGGTCTGCCCCATCTCAACTCAATGTTTTCGGTGGGAGTGGTTGTCCAGCAGAGGAGCCCACATTCCCCCTGCTGGCTTTGCCCCCTCCCTCCCTGGTTCTCATGTGTGCTGTTTGGGCGCTGTGGCCACATCTGGTATGGCTCACCTCACCTTGGCATTCCATAATGTGCACTGGTTTGTGTCACAACCGAACCTGGCCCGACCCACACTCTATTCTGGTGCTTGGATTCACCAGCAGGTGATGTGAACTGGTTCAGCCTGGTCTGCCCCTAACCTATGCCAAATGTATGCCAGTGGGTATCTTTCTCTGGCCTGGTCTGGGTTGCTCCCTATTGTGGTTCTTGTGCTCACCTGCAGGGACTGTGTCCTGACAGAGGAATTTCCCAAGCTCCTCCATCAGATCCTCTCCCTCTGCCAGATCTTGCGTGTACTGGTGGGTCCATGGGCCAGCCCTCCTTGCTGGCCTTCAATCCATTCTGGTTCTTACTGTTGGATGTTTCAGCCCAGCCAAGGCTTGTCCATACCCAGACACTGCTCACACATGGCTCAGTAGGGGCAGAGACCCAGCCTAGTCAGTTCTACATCTACCCAGGTTCTCCAAAGTCCCAGGTGGTACTGGTGTCTAGCCCAGGTTAGTGCGCCCAGCCCCAGTCTACACTTGTGCCAAGGGAGATTGCAGCCATATCCAGACCAGAACACAGCCCCACTCCAGCCCCCACACCCTCCCATGGGAATCCCAACCCAGCAAGGGTGTACTCTCACAGCTCCCCAACCAAGTCTATTCCCAGCCCTAGATTACATGTGTGCCAGTGGTTGCTCTGACCCAGTTGGCTTAGCCCCTCACCTGTCTCAGCCTTTGCCTTCGATGCTGTGCTGTAGTATCCCTGCCTCATGCAGACCAGTTGGTGTAAGAGCCTAGGTCAGAATGACATGTGTTCCATTCTGATTTCTGTTCTTTTTTGTGAGTTGAGGTTTGCTCGGCCCTGCCCGGTCCGCCCCCTTCCAGTTGCAGCTCAGCCCACCCCACATCCTGTTTTAGGATGCACATTCGGGTGCTGCTGCCTTGACCTGCCCAGACTGTTGTTGGTTCCTTTACCCATAAGTGATGGCAGGTTCCATGGTCACACCTAGCTCAGCCCATCACCACCCCAGCTTGTGAGCTAACCAGTGGGACTTGTATTTCCACAGGGTTTGGCCCACACTTCCCCCACAGAATCTACCCCTGATCTGGTTCTCTCGCATGCTGGTTAGTGTCTTGACCTTGCCAAGTGTGACCTGTCCACTGTTCCACCACTCAGTCAGGTACTGGTACCTAGCCCTGCCACACAGGTCTCCATCCATAGCTTTCATGTGGCAGTCAGTGATGCTCTATGCCAACAGCCCATCTCAGGATTCCCATTTGGGCTGGTGAATCAGTCTGGCCCAAATAGATCTTGTGGACTCTCCCCTCCAAACCACCAGGTCTCAGTCCCCACGCTTGCCAGAAAGTTCTGTGACCCCGTTGCTGGGAATCACCCAGAATTCATCCCTCACCTACACTCACACTGGCCTTATCCATGGATGTCCCTAGGCAGCAATTACATATCCTAAAAACCTCAGAGCTCACCACAGGGTGGCTAGCAGACAGAGCCTGGCACCACTTGCTGTGCTAGTTGCCCAAAGCCTAGGACTCGATCACCATTTGGCGGTAGTGACCTTGCCCAAGTTCCTAGCATTGGGTCCGGCCTGGCTGGGGCACCCCCCACAGCCGCCACACTGCAGGGAGCTGCTTTTGCCCCAACCCCATGGCCAAACCTTTGTGTTTTTTCCTTAAAGTTTAATTTCTCTAAAAATAAATACTAATGAGAAATATTAGAGACAGAGAACAAAGGAATATGGGTGGTAGTCCTCTGATTACTCCCTGAATGTCTGTGCTGGGGGGACAGGAGGGAAACTGGGCACTCAGCCCAGGTGTTCCTGAGTGGACTGGACTGCAGGGGTCCAGCTGCTGAGCCTGCTGTCTCCTAGGGTGCACATTAGCAAGTTGTTGCAGCTGGGAGCATAGCTGGGCTTCAGGCAATCCAATGTGGAGTGGTAGTGTCCCAGTGAGCATCTTAATTGCTAGACCAAATGCTAATCCCATGCATATGATTTTACTTAATAAATAGTTATATTTGCCTTTTAACTTGTAACCCCTCTTACTTTTATGAGTTAGCCCTCTCAGATTAGACGTTTAATATGTATATTTCTTCTTAGAAATTGTTTATAAAATTTGTATGCACATAGAATGTATATAAGTATTTGTATATACTTAGAAAGTCACTATGATTGCAGTATGGACATTCTTTCCCACTGTGTGATCTGCTTGTTGGAAATCGCTGCAAGTCAGCTGGCATGGCTCTAATCTGTCCTTTATAATGTCAGGATGTAGACATCATGACGCTCCCCAGTGAGGGCGTACAGTTACTTAGTAAGCTACTTTTCAGTTAATGGTCTATGTGTTTGTTGTTGTTGTTAAGCTCTTTTGCTTTTGAGTAATACTGCAATAAATACTCTATTTTTAAGGTTTATTTATTATTTGGAAGGCAGGTTTTTATGGAGGGAGACATCTTCCATCTGCTTGTTCACTCCTCAAATGACCACATGGCCAGTACTGAGCTGATTCAAAGCTGGTAGCCAGGAGTTTTTTCCTGGCTTCCCGCATGGGTGCAGGATCCCAAGTCCCTGAGCCATCTTGTGTTGCTTTTCCAGGCCGTGAGCAGAGAATTGCATTCAGAGTAGCAGCTGGGACACATGAGCTGGTGCCCATATGGGATGCTGGCCCTTGCAGGTGGAGAGTTATCTTAAAAAAAAAAGCGGTTGAGAGAAACTTGAGTTAATAAATGAAACTGATTGCTTTTTTTCATGGAATACTGTTTGTATTTGAAGAAGTGGCTGACAAACTCATTAATTCAGGCTTGAGTATTTGGCAGGTGTTTTCTTGCAAAGAAAATATGAACATGCCGCTGCAAGAACTAACTCTTGCCAGAACAAATTTGAGCTTTCAAGGACAAGTTAGAATTGTGGAAAAGTTGATCCGTAAGGACTTTTCTAATGAAACTGATGGTGACACTATAAAGAGTGTGACTTCTGTTAATATGTGAAGAATCCTGATGTTTAGACACTGGACTATGTCCTGTTTTCAACACTGTAGTATTTTATTTATTTATTTGCATTTCTTGAAGACGGATGCATCTGGACCCTCAGATGGTGATGTGCCAAGTCGTACACGGCCTAAGAGCCCGAGAAAACATAATTATAGGAATGAAAGTACCCGTGAAAGCGTTAATGATTCTTCTCATCAGAATCTCTCCAAAGTGAGTATTGATAAAGCTAAGATTCATTCATGACTCTCATTTGTTCCTGAAGTGTCTGATTTTACTTTAAAAACCAAGGAGCAATTTGGAAAGTAGACAGAGAAAGCAAACAAGAGACCTTCATCTCCTGGTTCACTGCCCCAGTAGCTGCAGTGTGGGACTGCGGCAGGCTGCAGCCAGGAGCCTGGACCTCTGTTCGGGTCTCAGCAACGTCTGCTGCTGTTTTCCCGGGCCTGTGAGTAGGAGCTGGAGCACGAGTGGGACATAGATGGAACTGTTCAGATTACAGTGTTTGTATTTGATAAACATTCCTGCTTTTTAAGTTTCTGAATTGGACAGTTTAGTGGACTGCTAAAGGTCTATAGCCAGTTTAGTTAGGTTTTATTTGAGATGGATTTTGTTTCTAACTTATATAAATGAAAGTTTTGGTTTTTTTTTTTAAGATTTATTGATTTTTATTGCAAAGTCAGATATACCTTCTGTCCGATGATTCACTCACTCTCCGAGCGGATGCAGTGGCTGGAATCCAGGAGCCTCTTTTGAGTCTGCATGCGCGTGCAGGGTCCCAAGGCTTTGGGCTGGCCTTAGCTGCTTTCCCAGGCCACAAGTGCGGAGCTGGATGAGAAGTGCAGCCACCGGGATTAGAACCAGCAGTCATATGGAATCCTGGCACATTCAGGGCGAGGACTTTAGTAGTCCAGGCTACTGTGATGGACCCATAAATGGAAACTTTTTAAAGATACAACTTTTTTTTACATGTTGAATATCCCTTAATTGCAATATTTAAATCAGAGTGTTTTGGATTTTTTTAGATTTCGGAATATTTGCATTTATACAGTGAAGTATCTTGAGGATATAACCTAACAAAAATAGTTTTATGTTTCTTAATATACTATTCAAATGTCTGGCAGTAATTCTCTGCGATGTTGTAGTGTACCTGCGTTTTGACTGGCCTGTCACAAGAGATCAAAGTGTAGAATTTTCCTCTTTATCACATTAACTCTTTTTTTTTTTTAAAGATTTATTTTATTTTTATTGGAAAGGCAGATATACAGAGAGGAGAGACAGAGAGGAAAATCTTTCGTCTGATGATTCACTCCCCAGGCAGCCGCAACGGCTGGAGCTGAGCCAATCTGAAGCCAGGAACCTCTTCCGGATCTCCCACGTGGGTGCAGGGTCCCAAAGCTTTGGTTCGTCCTCGACTGCTCTCCCGGGCCACAGGCAGGGAGCTGGATGGGAAGTGGGGCTGCCGGGATAGAACCGGCGCCCATATGGGATCCCGGGCGTGCAAGGCAAGGACCTTAACCACTTGCGCCATCGCCATCGTGCCGGGCCCCACTTTAACTCTTGAAACATTGTAGCTTTTGAATTTTTATATGAGGGATGTCTCAGGCTTATCAAAAATTAGGTGATACAGTTTTACTTGGGCTGAGGTGTATGACACTGTAGGTAATAATATTCTTAAAATAGAAAATGAAATTATGTTTGTAAGTTCCAACCTTACCTGGCAAGGGAGATGCCCTGATCACTGAATGGCTTTCTCAGGGTGAGGCTGACTCATTGCACTCTGCATATGAAGAAACTTGACTGATAATTGGTAGTGGGGACTGTGTTCACACTCTCCCCTGGGTGGGGGGAACCTTTAAAAAAAAATGTGATTTCTGGTATCTGAAACTGGAGTTAAAGCTCATAGATTCCTACTACTGGACCCTGGACATGTCTGGATTCCTCTTCGTGTTGGAAGTTGTTTCCTCTCATTGCTTTGCCTGGTAACTTCTGTATTTTCCCTCTCAGATGCTTTCATTCTTGTTCTGAACTTGAGGCCTGTTTCTTTTCTGTTTCTATGAATTTTTAATGACCTGTCATTGACCTTTAGCTAACCCACAAAGACCTTTAATGAATATTTATCGTAGCCGAGCCTAAGACAGGCTTATAGTAGACTTGATTTTCTTTTACAGAAAGATTTTTAAAGAATGATCTGTTTTAAAAATTGTTATTAACTGAGGTAGATTGTTGTAGTTGAAGTTAAGAATGTATGTAAAGGTATGATTCTCATTTTTCGTAGCCTCTTCTAGAAAATAAACTTAAAGCATTCAGTATTGGAAAGATGAGTACAGCTAAACGAACTTTAAGTAAGAAGGAACAAGAGGAATTAAAGAAAAAGGTAATACTTAAATCATTTTTTACTTTGGGTGAATGGTAATTTCATAAATATAGTTCTGCTATATTTGTCTTTGTCAAATTGTTCATAAAGATAGGGACATTTTGCATCCCTGTCAACTCGGTATACAAGTGGTTGTTTTCCTCATTGCCTTGTAGAAAATATTATTGAAGGAGTTTTGTTTGGTAGGTGAAAAATGGTATCTCAGGGTAGTTTTTAATTTTCATTTATCTTATGATTTGGTTTTTGTTTTCTGTGAACTGCTCTTGTCTTAACCGTATTATATCTAAAACACTCTGGTACATGGTGCAGTGTTTTTTTTTTTTTTTTTTTTTCTAGTTTGTCAATTGTATTTTTATTTTGTGTCTGGTGTTTTCCTTGCAGAAACCATTGTTGTGTCATTCACTTTTCCTTTTTTCCCCTGTAATTGCTAGTTTTTCGGTCAAGATTTTTTCCACTTGTAATTTATAAAGAGATGTGGTCATATTTTCTTCCAGTGTGGTTTCATTTTCAAGAAAATTTAATGTAATTGACTATTTTTGATATTCCCCTTTTTTGAATGCTAAATTTCCATATGCTGTTCACTTTTTGCCTTTATTTTCTGTACTGTGTCCTTTGACTTTTTGTTCATGCATGCTTTGGAATATTTAAAATATCCATAATTGGAAATGCCAAGATTGTTTTAAGCTGCTTTTCTTTGGTGTCACCTCTGAAGTAGGCATCACTGCTACAACTTCTGATTCTTGTCTTTGGTTTGAAAGTAGCTCTTTATATTCACAAAGTCACCAGAATTGGTAAAAATTAAAAGTGTTAAGTAGACTTTTCTGTAAATATAATCAATTTTTAATATAACTTGTAAGTCTATACAAGGTCAGTCTTTCCTGATATCACAAATTATCTGAAGAGGAAAATAGCTTTTCCTAGTTTCAGTGTTTAATATCTATTTAGAATTAGGTGTTGTTATTTTTTTTTTTTTTTGAGACTGCTTAATTTGGAAAAGGAGGCGTTTTCCTTTACATTATTTTTAATGAATTTAACCTTATGTGCAGTAACTTTATATTATGATTGATACTTTCCTGTATATTTAGGAGGATGAAAAGGCAGCTGCTGAGATTTATGAAGAATTCCTTGCTGCTTTTGAAGGAGGTGATGGTAATAAAGTAAAGACCTTTGTGCGAGGAGGTGTTGTTAATGCAGCTAAAGGTAGGTGTTAGCCTTGCCCTGGGTTGGGTGACTCCGTAGATAATTAAGGAGGAAGGTGGTTCTTTGGGCTTTTGTGTTTGCTTTCTGTCAGCACCCTCTAGTGGTTACATTAATTAGCCAAGTAAATGACCAAATGTGGATTGATGGGATGTTACGACTAGATAACGGTGATTTTGTACCTTTGCTTTGGGGTTTCAGGATGGCTGAACATTTTGCAGTATGTTTAATATAGTTCATAGTTTTACTATAAAATAAATGTTTGAATTTTTGTGGGTAAGGCAGTATATTTGTGTTTAATTTCGTATCTTTCAGTGTTGATAGGTCTTAATACTAAAAAATATCAACTGATTTGTGTTAGTTTTACAAAGTGAAGAAAAACAAGTAATGTGAAAATAGTTTTGAAGCTTAATATTTTAAATTGCAGAAGAACATGAAACAGATGAAAAAAGAGGTAAAATTTATAAGCCATCTTCAAGATTTGCAGATCAGAAGAATCCTCCAAATCAGTCATCCAATGAAAGACCACCATCACTTCTTGTAATAGAAACCAAAAAACCTGTAAGTCATACTTAGTAATTGGAGATTTATGTTCAGAGATGACACTACCAATGGCAGTTTTTAATCAGGATACTGGCACTGTGAGTAGGACTTTGATCTATTTATTTTTTAATCAGGAGTAAATTTTTAGTTTTAATGCTTTCTATCCCAGTAATGTACTTGGATGAGAAATAATAAAGTAGAAGACGGACTTTTTTTATGCTCTTTGGAGCAGTGTTTATTTGCTGCTACTACTAACTGTACATATCCTACAAGTCAAAACAAGCTGTGTTTAGGTACAAATGTAAACTGTTTAGGGTAAAAATATGAAATGATGTGACTGTTTTTAAGCAGTCTGAACAGAGGTATTTAAATTGTAGTATTGATTTCATAGGACAGTTTTGGAAGTCACTGACAAATAGTGATATTGCCTTTAAAAAATTAGATATTTATGTGAAAGGCTGGGGGAAGGGTTCAAAGAAGGAGATATGGATAAGGAGACTATCCACCTGCCGGTTTGCTTCCCAGGTGTCTGCTACACCTGAGGCTGGGCCAGACTGGGGTTTGCTGGGAAGTCAGTCCTGGTCTCCCACGTGAGGATCAGGTGGCAGGGAGGGAATTGCTTGAGCTGAAATGTGCCTCCCAGTTTGTGCGCTAATAGAAATCTGAAATCGGGTCCAGAACTGTGGCTTGAGCTGAGGCCTCCTGCCATGTCCCAAGATGGCTTGTAGCATCTAATGTAGCCACAAATCACTGCCAATACATCATCTTGTAATTACTGTGAGTTGTGAAAAAAATGATTCTTGTGAGATTTTTGTAGGGGATGATAGATATGAGGCTGAAATATGGTTGTATTCACTAGTGAGGCTGATCTTTTGTGATTTTTAAGATGGTTCTGAAAGCAACTTCTTAATAGCTTTACTGACATACATTTCACATATTACACTTAGGACTATTGGATAATTTTTCCCTATACTAAGAGTTGTCCAGGAATTACTACATAATTTCAGAACATTTTTATCATTCTTGAAAGAAACCCTATGTTCATAATGGATCCTCTTTACAACCACTCATCTATTTTCTTTCTCTTTTGATATAACTTCTGGACATTCTGTACACATAGAGTCATGTAATATGTGATCTTTGTGTCTCAATTTTTTACTTGGCATAATTCTTCAAAATTCACCCCTGTGGCATGTATCAGGACTTCATTCCTTCTTGTGGTTGAAGAATACTCCATTTTATGGATGGTACTTTGCTATTCATTATCTGAAGGACATTTGATTTATTTCAACTATAAGACTTGCAACTATAAATGTGTATGAGCTCTTGTGTGTACAAATGTTTTCATTTCGGTAAATGTACACAGAGATACTTTGTGTGGCGCAGGTGTTGTGGTGGAGAGGGTTAAGTGGCTGCCTGTGATACTAGCATCTCATTTTAAACCACCAGTTGAGTCCTGAATGCACTGCCTCAGATGTAGCTCCCTGCTAAAGTGCTTGGGAAAGCAGCAAAAAATAGCCTAAGTACCTGGGCCCTGCCCCCCACGTGGGAGACCTGGATGGGGTTCCTGGCTCCTGGCTTCTGCCCGGACTAGTTCTGGCCATTGCAGCCATTTGGGAAATGAAGCAGCACAGGAAAGATCTTTCCTTTCTACCCACCTCCTCTCTTTGTCTTCTTTCCTCCTCCCTTGCTTCCTCTTTCAACATAAATAAATACAAGTTTACTGTGGTGACAAGAACTTTTAAAATTTGTGCTAGGTTTTCATAATAAGCATTATCCACAAGCCTTTTGAAGGTCCTTGTATACTTGAGTGGCACCTGACATGTGCCAAAGAAAAGTTAAATTCCATGTATGTCTTTTTAAAGTATCTGTACATAGCTGCAATTGGAATTGCTGGTTAGCATGGTGACTGTATGTTTAAAATCTTGAAACTGACACACTGTACCAGTTATTTTCCACTGTTTGCCTTTAATCCTAAGCGATAATAGGAGGTTTCTATTTTCCCGTCATCAACTTTTTTTTGTCATTTTTGTTACACTTCATTGTGGCTTTGATTTGCACACCTGTAAGATGAGCATCTTTTTATGTTTATTGTTCAGATTTTATTTTTTGGAGAAATGTATTCAAGTTGTTGGCCTGTTTTTAAGTTGGGCTTTTTATTGTTGAGTTTTAACATCAGTTTACATGTTCTGGAGAAGTTTCTTTTCAGCTATATTATATTTTCAAGTGTTTTCTTCCTCCCTGCTTCCTTCCTTCCTTTGTTCCTTCCTTCTGCTGGTTAACTTTCAGATGGCTGTTGAAACAGCTAGTGCTGGTTTGGGAGCTGGGAACTCCGTCCAGTTCTTGTGTGTGGGTGGTGGAAACCCAGTCACTTGAATCATTGGCGCTGCTTTCTGGACGGATTGTTGGGGAAGCTGGAGTTGAGAGTTGGAGCTGGGAATAGAATCCAGGCATTCTGATGCGGGACATGGGCTTTCTTGACTCGGCTAACTGTACTCTCCTGCATTTTCTTGATTGAAGTGTAGGAATATTTTATAGCTTTTGGTGTAATAGCTAGGCAGTCATGACCAGGGCAAGATGATGAAGATTCATTACTGTTTTTCTATAAGTGCTTTATGATTTTAGCTTTTATATTTAGGCCTGTGAACCATTTTGAGTTAATTTTTGTGTGTGGTCTGAAATAAGTCCTTTCATTCTTACTCACATCTTATTATTTAATTGTCCCAGCATCATTTGTCAAAAACGTATTTCTCAATTGAATTACCTTGGCTTAAAAAAAATAATTTAGATAGCAGAGTTAGGAGAGAGATATACACAGAATCTTTTATCCATTGGTTCACTTTCCAAATGGCTACAAATGAAGCCAGGAGGCCAGAGCTTCATCCGAATATCTTCATGCATGTTGGGGCCCAAGTACTTTGAACATCACCTGTACCCTTTCCCAGGCATATTAGTAGGGAGCTGAATCAGATGTGGAGCATCTGGGATTTGAACCAGTGTCTATGTGGGATGCTGGCATTGCATTAGCGTGGTATGGCATAACACTAGTCCCACCTTGACATTTTTAAAAGAGAGATTCTAAAGGTGGATTTAGCAGCAGGTTTTTAAAAAATGAATTTATTAATACATTAGTTTGTTAGCACTAGAAGTAGTTTTAAAGGGGTATTCAAGGCTATTACTCAATGATTCAGTAATTCTTAACTTTGTAAGACACAGCATCCATTTTTGTTAGGTGTTGCTAGCAGTAATGTTACATTTCCCTTTAGAAGCTTGATGTTTCTTAATCTTTCCCTTATTCCCCAGCAGCCCCACTGTCAGGCTTTTGGGAAGATAAAAGTTAGTGGCTCCTTTAAGACAACTGATTGTCATTTTAATGACTTACTTAAATAATTTATTTGGGGGTACCAGGAAGAGAAATTCAATGACAGACATGTCCTTTTTACTTAAAAATTGGGATTGACAATGATTTTAAAATGATCTTACTTTTGAGCCATTAGTTTTGTTTAACATTCCCTTGTTTAAAGTATAACTTGTCATATCCTTCATAGCCATTGAAGAAGGGGGAGAAAGAAAAGAAAAAAAGCAATTTGGAACTCTTCAAAGAAGAGTTGAAACAGTAAGTTTCATCATGGAGAGTTACTATCCTAGGTTTGTGACAGTTACAGATTCAGGTATGAAGAATGTGTTATCAGCTAGTTATTAACCAGCTTGTTGCAGAAGTTGTTTTAGATATTCTGATAATATTTTTGTGGGGTATGTTAGAAGTGAATTAACATTCAGTTCAGTGTTAAGTTTGTATTATATGAATCCAGTTGATTAATGTCCTGTGATTTGTTTCCAGTGGTAGCAGTATATTCACTGTCATGGGGTATAAGGAGTGAATAAACTTTGCAATTAAAACGATCAGTTTTTATAATGTTGATTTCTGCCTCATCTTAAAAATGGTCTTTATTTTCCATTGCTAGGATGGTATCATCAGAAATTTGCTAGAGGCTCTCTTGTAGCTAAGGGGCTCCCTAATCATGGTTGTCAGTATTGGTAACCAGTAACTTGAAAGTATGTGAAGTTACATGAAAAACTCTTAGTGTGTATGAACAAATTGTGGCTTGTTTTTGGTAATTATAAGTATTTTTAACAGAATTCAGGAAGAGCGTGATGAGAGACATAAAACAAAAGGCAGGTTAAGTCGATTTGAGCCTCCTCAGTCAGATTCGGATGGTCAGCGTCGTTCTAGTAAGTGACATTACTTTAGTATGTATGATTGTGATTCGTTATTCTAAAAACTAAGAGTTTTTCTCTTTTCCTTCTTTTAAGTGGATGCGCCTTCAAGAAGAAATAGATCATCTGGTGGTAATACAGTTTTTTGCTTTTTTTAACTAATAAATTGTCCAAACTTTGTATTTTGGAGGTTATAATTGTTTTTTCTTTACTCTAGTTCTTGATGATTATGCTCCTGGCTCACATGATGTAGGCGATCCAAGCACTACTAATTTATACCTTGGAAACATTAATCCACAGGTAATATTTAGGAAAGTAAGATGAATATTAGCTCTATGTTTTATGCTGTTGAAAGCAAGCTGTTTTGTATTCAGTAAAAAAGCCAGAATTCAAAGTTGTAGGTAGTTTTTAAAATTGTCTTGTAAACTAAAGACTTAATGGTGTGACCTAAAATCGTTCTCCCACTGATTCAGCAAGACTTGTTTTATCTTTCATTAACTGGAATGTATTTTAAATCAGAAGTGGCTTTACTTTTCTGCTGTCTGGAACCAGTGGTGGATCGTGGTGTTTTGAGATTAACTCCAACTTATCATAGCTTGTTTTCTTATGGAGTCTTTCCTCACTTCAGTATGGTTAGTTTTATTGCAGAGGTGGTAGTGGTTGACTCATACTCTTTTAAAATAATATACTCTTTCTAAAGTTATATATTTGCTCTCTCCTTTGATGGTTGCTGAAAAAAGAAAGATAGTTAGAATCTTTTTTCTTGTTGCTTGTTGTTGACAAATATCTTCCTGCTTGACTTAAATGTGTGTAATTAGCTAATAACTAAACTGCTTGAACAATGCTGCTAAAAATCTAAACATCATCACTGGAAGAACAGTTTATTTAGAACCTAGGGTCGTTAAATACAAGAGTTGGAATGGCTTTTGTGAGCTACTTGAGTGATCTTGATAGTTCTGAGATGTTGGCCTCCTTGCACCAAGGTTGAGAAAATCTTTCCAAGGTCTGTTAGTTGACAAAGTTTACCATAGTGCATTCACAAACCCAAGGACATGCTGCAGAACTTGGTCAGGAGAATAATCCAACCTGTTGTGCATTCTGTCCTCTGACAAGGCGCTCATTGTCGCCTGCTAGCCTAGATGAGCGGACTGTCATGTCCTTCAGGTGCATCTGGGCGTGCTGTCCACCACACAGGCATCAGCATGAGTGAAGAGACCCAGTCCTGATACATGCACTCCAAGGTCTGACTACACATCCTGTGATTTTCCCTGTGGCAGGGTCTGAGTCCAGTGGTCCAGTTGAGAAGTTCCCCAAGAAACCTTGTCTGGGATGACCTTAGACTTGACTCTGGTGTGTGCCAGTCAGTGCAAGGTCAGGTGTAGTTTGTCAGCTGTACTAGCGGATGCAGCTGCCTGGTCAGTTCCTGCATCTTACGCGAACCGATGAGTACTATGGCCCAGCCCAGCCAGCCAACCAGCCGGCCACAGACCCGATTCTCACTATAGCAGCAGGTGCTGCAGCCTAGTCAGGGCGACCTCCAATAGCCCTCACCAGGCCCACGCCCAGCCCCCGTTTTTGACTCTTGTGTGTGCCAGCTAGTGCAGAGTCAGGTGTGGTTTTTCAGCTGTTCCAGCTACACACTTACTGGTGGATGCAGCTACCTGGTCATCTCACCTCAGCACCGTATCTTAACCAGTAGGTGCTGCAGCCTAGCCTAGCCCATTCAACCTGCCACAAACCTGATCCTCATGCCATACCAGTAGCTGCTGCAACCTAGTTGGGACAACCCCCCAAAACCTCATTTAGGCCCACCCCCAATACTGGTTTTAGTGTGTGTTAGCCTCTGCTATGTCCTAGCTCAGACCAACCTGTGTCCCAATTGGCTCTTATGCACACCTGTAGGTGCTACAGTTTGGCTCAGCCAGACCCACCCCAGACCTAGCCCTCATGTATATTGACAGGTGCTACTGTCTTGTCCATGCTGGTCTTCCTATATCTCTGGTTCTTATGCTGACTGGCTATAGGTATAGTTTAGCTGGGGAGTCCCCACAGTTCCCCTGTCAGGCATGGATCTTAGATTTGCCAGGAGGCACTGTCGACGAACCTGACATGACAGTACTGCTATCCACAGTACAGCCTACTGTGGAGAGCTGGTGCTTCAGCTTATGCAGCTGACCCATTTAGGCTCTTGTGTATACCAGTGGGTGCAGCATCCTAGCCCAGTCTGGGCTGCCCCGTGGCCCAGCAAGGGAGTCCCCATAGTTCCCCTGCCAGGCCCTCTCCCAGCCCTGGGTCTTGTGTGTGCCAGCAGGTGCTGCGGCTAGTCTGAGATGGCCTGCTCCCAGCCCTTGGGGGTGGGTGAAGCAGCCTAGCCCAGCCTGGCCTTCCGTTAGCCCTCGTGATGTTGGCATCTTATATAGGTAAGACCGAAAGCTTCTGATAGGAAAAGATTTGTGAATTTTCCATGAGGGTAGAATTTTACCTGTATAGAGTTCCTAGTGCTTGAATGGTAGAATTAATATATTGTCCTTAATGTTATAAAAACTGCTTTGTTTTCTGTTGCATAGAATCTGTTTTCTTCCTTCCTCTACTTCATTCCTTTTCATACCAACACTGCCTTTTAATAGATGAATGAAGAAATGCTGTGCCAAGAATTTGGGAGATTTGGACCATTAGCCAGTGTGAAAATTATGTGGCCTAGAACTGATGAAGAAAGAGCAAGAGAGAGAAATTGTGGTTTTGTGGCTTTCATGAATAGAAGAGATGCTGAAAGAGCTTTAAAAAATTTAAATGGTAAGAAAGTTTTTATTGCCATTGGTAAAATTCAGACTGGTTTGATTTAAAAAAATAATAATAAAAATCATAATATGGAGAAAATGGGCCTAAAATGGAGAGGCTAAAAATTGAAAAAAAAAAAAAAATCAAGTCATCAGAAGTATTTTCTTCTATTATCAAAGTAAACTTTTTGTTTTTTTGTTTGTTTTGTCTTTTTTTTTTGTAGGAAAAATGATTATGTCTTTTGAAATGAAGTTAGGTTGGGGTAAAGCTGTACCTATTCCTCCACATCCAATATACATTCCTCCTTCTATGATGGAACATACGCTTCCCCCACCTCCTTCCGGACTGCCTTTTAACGCGCAACCTAGAGAACGGTTAAAAAACCCCAATGCTCCCATGTTACCACCACCCAAAAACAAGGAGGATTTTGAGAAGGTAATTTTAAAAGTGTACATAGGGCTGCATCTAGTTTGTAAATACTAAGTCTGTGGTAGTATTTCTTTTCAACAACTTTATAGAAAAAGTGTGTATAATTCTGTTTGACAACTCTTAAAAAAATAAATAAATGTGTTCCCTGCCTTAGCCCATGGAAACCCTGTATTGAAATACTAGGTTATATCTTTTTTTTTTTTTTTTTTTTGTCGCTATCATTCCTTTTTTGACTACTTGTTAAGTTTTTTTCCCCTTCTATGTCCAGTGTTGTAACCAGGCTTAAGTGCAGTATCTAAATTTACTTTGTTTAATATTCCCTTGTTACTTTATTGGTTAAGTGCACTGAATTAGAAAGACTCCTTAAATAGTTAAATTGTTTGGATAGCAGCTAGCTAACTTAGTTCTCAAGGTCTGAGATATTAGAATATTTGAGAGCATATGTGGATTTTTTAAAAAAGTTAACTAACCTAGTAAAAGCAAGGGTGAGTATTTCCTTTTTATTAAATATAAAACCAACCTAATTGAAAGTTATAAGAATTTGTTGGTTCTGTTATGGATTAATTACACTTAAAAATGAAAAATGACAGGGCTGGTTTTAAAGGCTTGGGAACAAAGTAGCAAACTGTATGGTCAGAAGCAAACAGTTAATGATTTCACAAATTAAAATCTTTATCTGATAATTCTCAGTGTAGTACCTATTTCAGTGCATTAGTGTGCATTCTGGCAGGAATGTTCTGATTCTTTGCATTTGGTGAACGCTTATTGTTCACTGAACACATCCATTTGCATTTATGTAATTGCTTAGTGTATAATTACTTCAAATGCAGTGATTGCCTGCAAAACTTGTGATTTAGATGTGTAGTGTTTTCAATGCATATGTATATTTTTGCTTGTTACTTGTTAACAATACTCACATATTCTATGTTTATTATCTGATGTGACTTCATATACAGACTCTGTCGCAAGCCATAGTCAAAGTGGTTATCCCAACAGAAAGGTACATGTTTTTCTTTATTATTACTGATCTAAATATAGACAATATCCCCTTCTGAATTAAAAGAAAAATGGTGTTGAGGAAAAGGTAATATCTTGACTGAGCAATGGTTTCTTTGCAGTACTTTTGGGGGTGGGTATATGAAATGTAACTAGCATTAGCGTATTTTACAATTTTATGCCATTGTCTTTTTTGTTTTTGTACTCATCAGTGTAGGGAATTTATATAGTGTTAGGTAGACTGTTAGTAGATTTAAAGTGGAGTTGATGGTCTAATAATGAGACTGTTAGCATGGGAAAAATAGGTGTTTTAAATGTTCATTTAATTTTATTTAGGTAATGTTGCAATTTGACACAGTCTGCTGTTGCTTTTTCTTGGTTCCTGAATTACCTGCATTTATATACAACTTTGGTTGAGTTCTCCTTACTGAAGACATGGTTTTGGTTTTTTCCTAATTGATTTTTTTAAGAAGAGATTTTTTTTTGGTGAAGATTTGATATCCCAGGAAGTTTTTTGCGACAACAAAGATATTTGGAATTCTTTTTATTTCCCTTTCCTTCTTTCTGTTTTCCTTTCTCAACATACTGTCATAGCAGCACTCATATTCTAGGTATGCTCTTGCTCAGTCAAGCTAAGCCTTTTCCCAAACACATGAACACAACACCGGTTGGATAATCAATGAACACAAAGAATACCAAATTCTCTTTGACATTGGCCTTGGTGAGCAACACCAGCTGAACTGTCTGCGGCAGCGGGGGACCAGGAAAACACCATGGGATGGATTGGGAGAGTATACAGTTTTTGACCAGACATTGGTACGATCAACTCCAATAAATGTGGTTTTATTATAACTGAGAGACGATAATTTTTTTGGTTGTTGTTACCCAGAGTAAGATAATTATTTTAAAATAAAATAATGCACTTTTAATATATCATCTTTTTGTACTACACTGCTTCATTCTGATAGAAAAGCCACCATTTTTTATATTAAGAAATTAAAACACACAGTCCTTAAGGAACAAGAGTGTGATTAAGTTCTTTACAAATTTTTGAATTCAAGATAGTAACAGTTAATTGTCAGATTTTGATTTTAAGTAATCATGAAACATTAAAAAATGTTTAATTAGGAAAAAATATTTTTATCAGTTACAAGCCTGTTTAAAACTATAGTGGGTTTTTTTTCCACCATTAAAACAGTCACAGGAGTGTATTTTTGTAATATTCCAAAGCACAATATTTAGTTATAGCTTTATGTGTGGCTCAGCATACTTCTAAACAAAATTTTGAATATACATTTGGCTGAAACATCAGCGTGATGTTGGAATGAATCCTTTGGTTTTAAACTTGCTGCACCATTTTTCATCTACTTTTAATACTGAAGTCAAGTTGCTTTTGACTTAATTTACGCAAGTTTCTGGATGTATATGTGTGTACATAGCTATATAATGTTTGTCCACCTAGTAATTGGCCATTTTGTGATATACCAAATTTGTTTTAGTTTTAATTTAACTCATCAAGTGGGAATTTGGGAACTGAATCATAACTTTGGATTCTCTCCCTTTCTTCAAAATAGTACCATGGACGCTTACTGTATGTTCTCATTTTGATATTAAGAACTGCATATTTGCACAGCAAGTTATAATTAAGTGAGAACATTTTTAATTTAAAATTAAGCCATGTTTTTGGTTCTTTGGTCTTAATGAGGCTGAATTGATAGTTTTCAATATACACTTTCCATTTGTAAACATTTAAGCATTTGTATAATTTTTGACCTTCATTAGACTCCCCCTTCCCCACCCCCCATCCCAACTGTGTAGCACTTGTGGAGCCCACCTAAGTAGATTTGTTTGGAAACAATGAGGAGATAATTATAGTCACAATGAGTTAGATTGTTTTACTGTTCATGTACTCTGAATCAGGGCATTATAGAGCCAAAATTGTTTTGTTTTATAACTGTATTTATTTATGTTCTAGCAGTTACATGAACTAATTTGAGTTGGGAATGCTAAAGATGTAATTTAGTGTGTGCCTTGTGCAAAGAGCCAATATCCTTTTGCTTTTCCCAGTTGTCGTTTGCCAGCTGTATGCTAGTGGACTGGTGAGATGAGAATTCCAAAGCAGCTTATGAATAAGGAATCATTTTTGCCTGACACTTTAATCACTCTCTAAAGTTGTGTTTGTAGTCTACTAAGTATCACATGACTTTAGGACTCACCTTTAGATTTTGAAAATACAGGCTTTCCATGAGTCCAACCAGTCAAATGCCTGTACTACAAAGTGGCATATATTTATTTGGACTTAAATTCTTGAAAATAATTGATACAAAAAATGGGAAGGGCATCTCACCATGTCCCCCTTTTTGGAAAGTGCTAAACTCCATTCATTTAATGCTTTGGCAGTACAGTTTTTTTCATTGGTTTCTTACTGCACAGGCAGAATTGTCAATGTGATGAGTGAACTAGTTTGAAATGTTGTCCAAAGGGATGTTGCCTCATTGAAAGTCAAATTTAATAAAAGCTCCATCAGGTATATATGGCCAGGGAAGTGTAGGAATTGGATGGATTTTTTATTAAATTAGGCCTAAAACTTGTTAAGTAGTTTTCCATTTTTATAAATTACAGTCATGGTCACAACATTTCAAAATTACTACATAAGTGCTTGAGTTAGGGAAATAAGGTAGTGTGTAAGCTTCAGATGGCTATAATGAATGCAGAGTCTCAGTTACTGAACTTACGTATTTGTAGCTTTCTGATTAGCTGTGATTCATAATTTAATATCTTGTTTTTGGAAAGTAAACTTAAGTGGCATTTTAAAAATTGAATCTTTATTACTGCGAGGGCGTTTTGTGGTTTCTCACCCTCCCCTTAAGCAGTCCTTCCCTTTCCCTCCTCCCCTCCCCTCCCCACCGCCCTGCTTCCTCTTAATGCATAAGGTATTAACATGTGGTCCAGTTTACCATATTGGTAATAAATTCTGTATTAGTCAGCAGAATAATCTTTTCCTGCACAATTATAGTAATTTAAGTCAAATGTAGTTTTATATAGTGGTAGGTCTGAATCCATTTTCTTTAACTCTGTTGTTGTTGTAGGAATTTGCTCGCTCTGATACATCGAATGATAGAGTTTGTTGTACGAGAAGGGCCGATGTTTGAAGCTATGATTATGAACAGAGAAATCAACAATCCTATGTTCAGGTGTGCATTTAAAAAAATTGATGATCAATTCTTAAGTGTATAGTTAAATATTTGCATTGTTGTGTAACTTTGACCACACCCATTCGGCCTTCATTAATGTTCTAAAATTGAAATTTTATACCCATTAAATAGTAACTCTTATCCCTGCCCTTTCATGCAAACTCCATTTGCTCTTGTTCCCATGAATTTGATAATGTTGTAGCATATGTTAGATTTTCTTCCTTTTAAAGACTAAATTATACTGTTATATATATATACCTATGTACTTATATGTGTGTGTATATATATATATAGCATATTCTGTATATCTCTGAGTATATATTTAAAAATATTTTTAGCTTATTTTCTGGAATTAATATTTGCAAGAAAAATGTTCTAAAAAGCATGAAATTAGTTTTGCTAGAGAATAAGTCAGTTTTAGTAATTAGAATAAAATGCTGAGATCAAGTTCCTGTTACATTTGATTTGGTTAATTAGCTTTATTTTAGTTTTCTTTAGAAGGGAAATACCTTGCATTATGCATTTCAATGAAAGTCTCTTCAATTGTGACATGTAATAGAACAAATTGAGTTATTTTAAAAGGAAATTGCTATCATGTGATGGCACTAATTTAACAGACACAGATCCTACAGTAATGTTTAGTGAATGGTAGGACTCAGCCAGGTGCATGCCTTCTGAGTGTGAATGGCAGACACATAGGCAACCTTGGGGGCAAGGCCATGAAGAGTGGGCAGTGCGTGCTGGGTGGCGCTGGTGGAGAAATTCCCTTTGGGAATACTTGCTTTCGGTGTTATTTAGAACTAAATAGAGAAATAATGTTTGTCATTTATTCATGCTCCCCTGAAGATAACTGTTAACTTTATGTTTGTTTAGATTCTTATTTGAAAACCAGACACCAGCTCATGTTTACTATAGATGGAAGCTTTATTCTATTCTGCAGGTAAGTGGAATCAATTATTAGTTAATTTTAACTCTGAGTTATTAGATCTCTGTAATGACCCTCTGGGTATATTGATTAGGGAGATTCACCTACTAAGTGGCGTACAGAAGATTTTCGTATGTTCAAAAATGGATCTTTTTGGAGGCCACCACCGTTAAATCCCTACCTCCATGGGATGTCAGAAGAGCAAGAGCAAGAAGCGTTCGTGGAGGAGCCTAGTAAAAAGGGAGCACTTAAGGAAGAGTAAGATGGCTTTCCTTTCTGTTACATTCTCAGAAAAGTTGCTTTTAATGATTGCTTCAATTAGTGGTCTCCCTAAGGTAGAATTTTTTTCATTTTTCATTTTAGAATGCTTAATAACATGTTTTACATATGCTTTATAATTTTAACCTTGACAGGTAAAAGTATTTGTCTTGTTAATTTTGACCCTTCTGATAGAAATTAATGCTGATCTCTTAAACATGACTAACATCTGTAGCATTGTAATACTTTTTAAGTTCCTGCAGAATTTAATGATCTGGGCACACTTAGAATTCTTACCTCTCTGCAAAATAAAGGGAGAAAATTACTATATGTCAGAGTTAGTTGTTGAGTATGCAAAGCTTTTCCAAAGAGTTTGCATTGTGTTAGAAACTGTGAGATAGCCACCATGGCAAAGTAGGTTATTGTTGGTGCGCATTCTGTCCTGGTGGGGTGTATTTTGCCTCATAGGAGGAAGCATAGTCTTTATTGAAGTTAGAATGAATGTGGAGGAGGGAAAGATACGGCTTCACCCCAACCTAACTTTATTTCAAAAATTGTAATTGTTTTTCTACAAAACAAGAAATCACTGTGATAAATTTCAAAAGTCAAAATGCATTGTTTGTGAGAGCATTTGCTAATGGAGTGTTAGAGTAATTGATTATAGTGGTTTCTGGTATTGATCTTCACTTTGGCCCAGGCGTCTACAACCTCAGCCCAAGGGCCAAATCCCTGTCTGTCTTCTCTACAGAAACAGTTCCTAGTTCCATGCAGAATTACTAGCATATAGCCTCCCTCCAAGGAAGGGGTTAAAGAGCATGAAGGATCTTCAGTATAATGGGATAGTAGGGCTGAGGCAATCTCAAATACTGTTGAAAAACTACCCAGAATTGTATTTTTATGTATGAATATGTAATTTATGAATTAAAAATACCACTGGAATTTTATTCAGGGCAAATTGTTTTTTGTTATATAGGTTCCGTAAAAAATCTTTAACAAATTTGAGAGGCTTAACAGTTCAATTTTCAGAATGATTTTATTGAGCTCCTAAGAAATTAATTTGTAAGCTGAAGCTGTAACGACATGGAAATGTGTATAGATATTTATGAGCTTAAAATGTATATTCAGGCAGAGGGACAAATTAGAAGAAATCTTACGAGGATTAACTCCAAGGAAAAATGATATTGGAGATGCAATGGTTTTCTGTCTTAATAATGCTGAAGCTGCTGAAGAAATAGTGGATTGTATTACTGAGTCATTGTCCATCTTAAAGACACCCCTTCCTAAAAAGGTATGACAGTGATTTTTCTTTATGAATTTAAAATTGTTAACCCATCTGAAAGACAGGACAGGTGCTGGGAGAGTACATATCTTCTATTCACTGGTTTTAGGAGTGCTTAATTAAGAAGAGGTGTGGTAATAGCTTTCTTTGGAGCTTGGGATTGGTTTTGTTTTTGTATGAAGAACTTCACTGATAAAACCTTTCCTTTGGTAGATAGTTCTTTTCCTTCTGCTAGAGAGACTAGCTGTGTTTGTTGATACATGTTAACAACAGCCTCAAGTATACATGAATTAACATAATATTCCTGCCGGTGACATGATTATGACGTGGAATTCCATGTAATTATTCCAATTAGTAGTGATTGTTGGAGTTAAACATTAGCCTTACACCACTGATTCTAGGTAATGACAGTACAGAAATTTTTATAGCCAGATTTTAGGTAGTGATTTTTATTTTTAATTCGTTTTGTGTTATCTTTTGGCATTACAGATTGCCAGATTATATTTGGTTTCTGATGTTTTGTACAACTCTTCAGCCAAAGTTGCCAATGCTTCATATTATAGAAAATTGTAAGTATACTGATGTAAGTTGATATTCTTGAAGTGAAAATTTAATGACTTCAGAAAAAAAGGAGGATATTTGCTAATGCTCATAGTGAAAAAATAGTCCTTATCTTAGTTTTGGAAGTTTTTGAAAATTGACTTTCATTCATGAACCAGTGTAAGCTAAATTACCAGTTTTTCGAATGCTTTTAGAAAATGTTTGTAGAAAATGCTTGTAAAATATAGTATGCAGATTTAATTATTTGTACCAAAATAAATTTTTTATTTCCACAAACTTTTGAAGTAATTTTGTGTAATGAACTGAAATCATGAAAATAATAGCAAAAATAAGACAAAGTTTATAACCTAATCTCTGGAAATGCAATCCGTGTTCTCTTATTCTATTTACTGTAGTCCACTAGTGTTTTCTGAGTCCATAGAGCTCGTACCACTAAACCCTTTACATATAACGCTTCCTTGCTTTGCAAAAACCTGTGTTTATTTTATGAAGTTTCTTGTAAGATAAAGAAGTTGTACTGCATTGCTTGAAACTATTAGATACATGGCAACGAAGGGAACTTGTATTTAAGATTCTTGAGGCATTTGCGGAACATTCAGAATGATAGTAAAAGCAATTCAATTGTGACTTAGAGTTCTTGCTTTTTAAGATTGTTTGAATTAGCATGCTGAATATGAGGTAGATTTTTATATGAATTCTATTTCAAAAATGTTATTTAATTTTCAGTTTTGAAACAAAATTGTGTCAGATATTTTCAGACCTCAATGCTACCTATCGTACAATTCAAGGCCATTTACAATCTGAAAACTTTAAGGTATGTGTATTTTACTGTTTTTCCCTAGTTTTCAAAACAGGCAGATGGTGAGGGCATTGGAGGGCTAAAGGGTGCGTATGACCACGTTAATAAAATTCTGCATGTCTTCGAAAGTTTTGAATGTCTTTGATTTTACTTTTATCACTTAAAAATATTTTACAGCATTAATTAGTGTTATTTTGTTAGATTAATAATTTAACTGTTAACTGTTTTCAGAAAGCACATTGAGAAAACGTATGACATATACAACTTAACTGGATTAAAGGACATACGTTTTAGTTGCTTATGCTTAAAAAGTATTGAATTAATTTTTTAAGAAAATTTGAAGGATGGGCCCAGCACGGTAGCTGAGCGGCTTAAATCCTCATCTTTCATGTACTGGCAAACCATATGGGCGCCAGTTCTAATCCCTGCAGCCCGGTCTCACATCCACTTTGCTTGAGCCCTGGGAAAGCTGTCGAGGACGGCCCAAGGCCTCAGGACCCTGTGCCCACATGAGAGACCGGGAGGAGACTTACGGCCTCGGATCAGCTCAGCTCGGGCCATTACAGCCGCTTGGGGAGTAAATCAACGAACAGAAAGTTTTCCAACCTCTCTCCTACTTTCTGTATATCTGACTTTCTAATAAATAAATAAATCTTTTCTTAAAATTTCTGAATGATGTAGACCCGTGTTAGGGAATGCCAAACAAAGCCTCTTATAATTGAATAAAATAGAGTAGTTTCATGGGAAGAAGATTTTGCAAAGAAAAATTTTTTTAGCTTGGAAGTATGTGCAGTGACCTCAGATTTCATATTACCCCTTTAAATTTTTTGTTTTTCTATTAAAATCTGACACCAAGTTAGAACTTAACAAAAAATTCATGGTTAGGCCAGGATAGGTGTCACCTGGATTAGAAAGTCCCGCACTGGATTCCGGTGGGAGCTTTGCCGCTTTGAGTCCCAGCTTTTATAAGATGGGATGTGAGTGTTTCTCAGAATCTGGCTCATGTTGAGTACTAGCAGTGTGGGAGTTGACTTTTTGTAACAAAGAACAAACTTATTGTTTCTTCATTTTCAGAAATTTGTCTTTTTAGTTGAAGGATGAGATTGGTTTTCTTTTAAAATATGGTATTAATAATTTTTTTTATATTTAAGAATACCAGCTTAAGTGTAAATTTAACAAATCATAATAATAATTTTCATGAACTGAAGTTTGACCCATATTGCTTAAAATAATAAATTGTTGTCTGCTTCCAATTTAGCAACGAGTAATGACCTGTTTCAGAGCGTGGGAGGATTGGGCAATATACCCAGAACCATTTTTGATCAAACTACAGAATATTTTCTTAGGCCTTGTAAATATTATTGAAGAAAAGGAAACGGAGGTAGGTGTTTGATTGCTTTTAAATCTGTTTTGGAGAGATGCTTGAGATACATTCTGTATCAGTACTTCAGAAAGGTTTGTGGAGAAATGGAATGAAAAAAAAATGGACTGAAAAGTATGTTTGGGTGCAAAAACTTCTGAAATTCGGTATTCCCATTTTCCATGATGTTTTTCTGAAGTACTCATCTGTGTAAATTAACATTTCTTTGAAAATAACTGCAGTTTACTACTATCTCATGGATATTTATTGCTAAGATTTCTGGATCCCAGGAATCTAAATTACATCTAACAGGAATTCTTTTTTGCTACCTTTTATTAAAATTGGCAGTTGGATTTTTGTTTATTGATACGAAAAGACGATTTTATAGTAAGAAAATTAATTACTATTGCTTCTAAATTGGGGGATAGTATTGCATTGTGGTAACCCTATTATAAATTTAAAACATATTTACTATACCTATCTTAACCAGACAGCCTAGCCTACTGTATTGTTATTATTATTTTTTTAGGATTGATGTATTTATTTGAAAGAATTACAATCCAGTGCCTTCCCAGGTGACTAGCAGGAAGCTGGACTGGAAGTGTAGCAATCAGGAGTCAGACTGGTGCCCACATGGAATACTGGTGTCATAGGCAGTGGAATCACTCACTGTGCCACAGTACTTTTATAATAAAATACTGGGTATGCCATGTGATTTGTTGAATACCTATTCCCAGAAAATGCTGGCAGCACAGTATGCTGTAGTTCTGACTTTTTACCCTCATAGTTAGTGTCTGACTAGGAGTTAGGACTCACTGCTGCAGCTCAGATGAAAACACCTGATATGGCTAGCCCAGGGCAAATTCTACTAAAATGTGTGTCACTCTCACACTGTTGTCAAGTTTGAAAAGCATGAGACTCTCCAAGTCTTGGAATGTTTGTATATAGAGTCACTTCATTTCGGTAATGATAACTATGAATAAATACATACATGAAGATTCAGCATAATCCTAGCATGTTCTCATCATTACTGTTCTCTTGCCAAGTGGTTCATTCTACTATACTACATAAGCTATTTTATTTTCACTTGGACTCTTGCAAGGTTCTCATAATTGTCCTTTGCCCCAGCTTACTTGTTCTGAGTTTAAATGTGCAGTGCTAACCCCCTACTGTTTGGACCTCGTACATGTTTGTCCTGGGATCTGTCAAGTCATCCTAGGCTGACTTGATTCATCTTCAGCCTGTTTAAGTGAAACTTGATTGTTAAACACTCTAATCATACAGTATACCTCTTTGTTGTAGTAATGATATAGTTGAACTTAGATTGTTGGGGTTACCTAACTTCCTGGTTTTCTGTACCCCATTGCACCCCAGTAACAGCAACGAAAATTTGATGTTCAGTGATGATGGGCTAAGCCCGTTATTTTTGCTGTTATGCTTATTATTACTTAATAAATACATGGCACAATAAGCACCTTGAAATGTTAGATAAATAAGTAAATGATTGGTTTTTTTGGCAGACTGGGTGATAAACTATTCTTAATATGTCCTTACATGTGGATACTAACCAGAATGGCATGTAGTGGATTGGGAATTGATCCTGTGGTAAGCAAAGGAAAATGTTACAATAGTGTGCTTTTGTAGGATGTCCCAGATGACCTTGATGGTGCCCCCATTGAGGAAGAACTTGATGGTGCACCTCTGGAAGACGTGGATGGAATTCCTATTGATGCTGCTCCCATTGATGATCTTGATGGAGTTCCTATAAAAAGTCTGGATGATGATCTTGATGGAGTGCCTTGTAAGTTCAAATTTTAAACTAAAATGAAATCTAGCTACTAAGTTTAGTTTCTGAATCTCTTCCATGTACATGCATGTTTATGTGGGAAGAGATCTTCATTGCTAATGGTATCAGGTTACTAACTTTTCCCTGTTTGATCAAACCTCAGATACTTTCTGATGTATTTGTGTCAAGAAAGGGCTTTTATTTCTGGTTATACTTCTTTGTTGGGACAGTCAGCATTTTCTTTTTCTTTACCAGTAACAAATTCCAGACAGTAATTCCAGGTCCATAGTTTTATTGGTTTCTACTTTATTTGAAGGACACACAGATGAAAAAAGAGACCTATTGGTTTGTTTTCCAAATGCTATAACAGCTTGCACAGGGCAGGATCCAAAGCTGGGACCTAGGACTCAGTCCAGGGCTTCCATCTGCTGGCTAATTCCCCCCAAATCCTGCCACAGTTGGGACTGAAATGGGACTGAATCCATTAGCTGGGAACTGAAAGAATCCAGTGCTGGAATAGCCACCAGTGCCTCACAGGGCTCACAGTAGTGGGAAACTAGAATCTAGAACCAAAGCTGAGTTGAGTTGGTTCTCAGGTGTCTTACTTGACCTGTTACTATTAATTCTGGTTTTTTTTAGTTTTCCTAGCTGCTTAAAACCATTTTAGAAGTAGAATGCATACATAGATTTTAAGTATATTTGAATGGTATATTAAAATAGCAAAAAGTACATGAATTCTCATTTAGGTAAAGATGTTATTTTTACTTCCCAGCTTCCTAAATTACTTAAAAATATTACTAGGTTACATTTTCTGAGTAGATAGATTAAACATTCTGCTCTTATCCATAGTTTCACTTCCTGTAATGGCAGTCTGTAAATATTAAGTGGATAAGTTCAAGAATAAATAATTCATACCTGTTAAATGCGTTTATAATGTATTGGTATAATTATTCTACTACTTGTTATTGTTAATCTCTTATGTGTCTAGTTTCTATCGGAGGTATGTATTCATAGAAAAAATTGTATATGTAGGGTTTCAGGTATCCCCATAGGATCTTGGAATATATCCCCCTGTGCTAAGGAACACTATATATTTAAAATTGGACCTCAATGAAGTATGTTAGTCAAAATTCTTGTTCTTGATATCATTGTTTGTCCATGTGTGGCCTTATTTTATTTTCATTATTTTAGTAGTATGATGAATGCCTATAGCTCGTTAATTCGGGTTATTCCTTAGTGGTTGAAGGTAATGGCTGCCTTTTCTCTTAACAGTGGATGCAACTGAAGACTCAAAGAAGAATGAGCCTATATTTAAAGTTGCCCCATCAAAGTGGGAAGCTGTAGATGAGTCTGAATTGGAAGCACAGGGTGAGTAAAAGTATAGCAAATGTTAAACCTTAAAAAATTACGTACTTATAAATTGATAATAGATGTGTTCTTAAAATTAAATATGTTATCCTTGAGAGACGTGTGTGGGCATATTTTCCTTTTATGCTTTGTTGTGCTTTAATAACAAAGATCCTGTGTTGCGTGTATCTGGTGTAAGATTTCATTGTGGTTGTGTTACTATAAATAATTTTCTTAGATCCTCCAGTTTGGAAGCTTTGAGAGTAAACAGAAAAATCACTGAAGAACTTTTGGTTAAGTCATTTTAGTAGAAATTGTAGTCAGGAAGCTTTCCTATTTGGAAACCTTCTTCGAGGTCTGGTTCAGAGTTTTGACCCTTCTGTAACAGTTAGCAGATGTAATTCAGACCTGCCTTGTCAGGTTTATTTGGACTTGTGCTAATATTTGGAGGTTCTAATGAAATAAATCTTAGTGTGCAGCACAGAAGTAAGGATGACAGTCATGTCATGTTATGAATTTAAATGAAATGATAATGTAGGTGTGAGGAAAGATTTGGCACACAGAAATGGCTATTCAGAGAATAGATAAATGTAGATAAAAACTTCTGTAATATAAACTTCTAATTCGAAGGCTGAGCTTTTACAGTTCTACTGCAAAAATGTTAATATACCTTATGAAATTACATCCTCTTTTTCCTTCCATTCAGCTGTAACAACTTCTAAATGGGAGTTATTTGACCAGCATGACGAATCAGAAGAAGAAGAAAATCAAAAGTAAGAATCTAAGTTTCAAATGTACTGTTTCTTTTCATTAGTAGGTATGGGTGAAATAATAGTGAGGAGGCGAACTTCAGTCTTAGGAGAAAAAAACATGTAAATGGATCATTTTAGTGTTCTCCATTATTTTCCCAATGAATAAGTAGCTTTGAGTTTCTGGTTCTGATGCATTTGGTTTCGCTTTGTTTGTGAGTTTATTTTTTACCGTTGGGTTATATATTCCCACTTAATAGCTACCAGTTCATCAACTGTGTTTGCTTCAAGCTTTATCATTAAATATTGTTTGGGGCTCCACAAAAAGGGGTTTTAAAATATGAGTGGAAAGCTTATGCTCCGTTTCTGTTGGACTGTATGTACGGTGCTCAGAAATACTGCCTTAAAACCATTCTGTTCCTGAAATGTAAACACTTCAGAAGAATTAAGAATGAATAAAGGTAGGGTAATCCTTTCTTTGAAGTTCAGAAAAATTTTTTTAAATTTTTGCTCTTAGATAACAGCTTGTTTTATTGCCAAGTGTAGGTTTGTATTGGTAGTTTAGGAAGAGCTTGACATTTTCAAATCACTGAAAGAAGTTTAAGAAGGATGATGTCACTCAGGTTTCTGTGTTTTAAGAAATCTTTCATATTGTTTGTTGTGCACAGAAGGAACAAAATTATGTCCAAGCAGTGATTATCTGCAGTTTGTATAAACATCGTTTGGTACGATGAGGGGAAATTGTTCAGAGAGAGAATTTTATACAAATATTGGGATGATGAGAGAAAGTAATGATCATTCACAAAATCCACAAAATTTGGATGTGGCTCGCTAATGGAAAGAACTTTCTGAGGCTGTTTGGATGAAGCTGGGGATAATTTGGTTCAATTTGTTTTGAAACAGTGGGTGTCTAAACCTTTTTTATGTCCACAGCCTTCACATATATCTATTCATAAAATAATTTAAATAACTATATTATTAAATAATTAATAAATTATGGGTGAGGAGAGAAAAGCTGTCAAGCACTTGAAATACATTGCTCAGCTGGTTTGTATTTAAAGGCATTAGATTTTCCTTTTTTGCACAAAATTGATACTTGTGTTGCCTTAAGTACATTTATATAATTTACTATTGATGTGTGATATAAATCATTATGGGAGTCTTTAGGAATGTTCTGGAAAGCATCATCAGATTTGATACTACACTTGATCTTAGCCAAAAGGCCGAGAAGAGATTGCATCATCAGATTTGAAAGTGAAACGTTTGTAGCTTGTGTTTTCTATTTTGAATTGTCTGTGCTTTATTTTTCTCTGGCTTAGATTTTTCTCTTTCAGCCACTGAGTCTTCATAAGTGACTTGTAATTTCAGTTTCTGAAGAATTTTATTATGCTTAATATTGTGAAAATTATAAATGTGTAATAAAAGAATTCATCTTATAGAATACATTTTGCGCCTAGTTTGAAAATTAAAGGCAAAAATGCCATTTATTCTAGGAAGGACATGCTAGTAATGTGTCCACAATCGGTATTGTTTATAAGAAATTTAATTTGTGTGTTCAAACAATTCCAGAGCTGGTTCAACAAGTTAGTTGCTGCTTGCAGTGCTGGCATCCTACATGAGCACTGGTTTGAGTCCCATGTGCTCCATTGACAATGTAGCTCACATCTGGGATAGTAGTGCAAGATGGCCCAAATGCTTGGACCCCTGCTACAGCTGTGGGAAATCCAGTTCCTGGCTTCTGGTTTCGGCTTGTTACAACCCCTGCTTTGAACATTTTGGTTGCTCTTACAACACTGATGACTAGCTTTACATACAGTTGTCTGCCTGCCTGCTAGATTGCGTCTGGAAGGCAGGGAACTTTTCTTCATGGTCACCTTTGTGACTAGACTTTCTTATCTAACTTGGAACCTGTGTAGTGTTCAGAACTTGACTACAGCACGAGTGCTGATGTTTGGTTGTATTTAATATGTGTATATTGCTTTGTTCTTAAAGTTAAATGCCAATCAGATAAGATCTTCACATGCTACACTGATTGTTTCATAGTTCAGACTCAATTTTCTAGAGTATAGACTGCTGAATGAGGGGTAAATGCCAACTTTCAGACGAGCCTTAGTGAATCTGAACTGTGTTGAATTCAGAAGTCGTTGACTATTCACTTAACTGCTGCAGGAAAAGTTGTTGCAAAATAGAAGGCATGCAGATTATAGAATGTATTAAAGTATTAAAGTTGAAGCTCAAACTTTTTTGTGTGGAGAAAGCAGGTTTTATCAAAATGTAAAATATGTTATCAAATGTTATTTTTTAAAAAGGAGCAAATTTTCCTCTTTAATTTCGCTAGCTTTATTTAGACTCTAGGATAGCGAAAAATACAATATCTGGAGTATAAAATGTAATATAGTGGGGTTTTTGGTTTGTTTGCTTCCTTGGCATACAGTGTATTTTTACTTCATTTCCAGTCAAGAAGAGGAAAGTGAAGATGAAGAAGATACACAGAGCTCCAAATCTGAAGACCATCACCTGTACTCTAATCCAATCAAAGAAGAAATGGCTGAATCCAAGTTCTCTAAGTACTCTGAAATGAGTGAAGAAAAGCGAGCTAAACTTCGTGAGATTGAGGTCAGTGTAGCGATAATGTTCAGACACGTGACTGGTCCTGGTTTGCTCCATCCACCCAGTTAAGCTCTCTGCGCTGTGTAACAGGTGCCATTTGTGTTGCACAGCAGCATTCCTACAGCAGTGCTCTTGCAGGCCCCTTGCGTGGTTCGAGCACCCCTTCTTGCACAGTTGCCTTTTCTTGCCATTCTGGGCTTCCCTGTTTCTTTTTTATCTCTGTAATCTAACATGGATCATGGGTTATGTGCGTCTCTTCTGCTTGCTGACTCTTGTTTTTAATATTCATCTTCCCCACTAGGTTACAGTTTCTGTGAGTAGAAAGGACCAGGTCTATTTTCTGTTCATCATTACATTGCTAGTCTGGTACAGAGGAAAACTTAACAAAAGAAAGTATTTTAGTGAATTTATTTTGTAGTTATATAAGAAGTCCATTACATTTTGAGCACTTGTAGCATGTTATGTAGGAAAATGTAGACAGTTTTGATATGTGTAAGGTGTTGTTTACTTACTAATTTTTTGAGGAACAGCTGCAATTTCAATAATAGCAGAGTAGAAACTGAGTGGATCTTGAAATTTAAAGAGAAGAAATGTATGAGAAAGCCAGACTATCTCAAGCCAACTTTTCCCACCTCCTCCTTTTTGTTTTCCTTTTAAAATGTTTTTTTGTTTGTTTGCTTGTTTATTTTTGTTTTTCCAAAAATTTTACTCCTGTCAGACAGAGGATAGTTTTGTAGTGCTCTGAGGTGTGATGAATACTAGTAATAATGAAATGGTCAGTGTAGTACCTCAGAGTAACTTTTAAGATTGTATTTTAATACTCTGTGCATTCATTAACAGTAGTTTTGAATGCCTCTTTTGGGTCATTGGCTGTTGTTTGTAAACTGCCGTGTTAATTACCTCATTTGTGTTTTTTCACATAGTTGAGCTGGAGACAGTTCTTACCCACTGCTTTTCTCAGGTATCATCAAACCAGAAAGTAATTGGGAAAGCTTTTGTTGTGACCCTATACAGAATATAAGTAGTATCAGTTCTAAATGGAGATCAGAGCTCTTCAGAGTTAATTAACTGATTGATTTTTTTAATGAGACTGTTTCACAAAGTTTTTTTGGAAGAATGGAATTAAAAAAATAATTTACCGTAGTAAGAAAAAAAAAAATGTTGCCAGTTTAAAGCTTTTTCCTAGTATTTCCCTGAACTTCAGGATTTGTGATGTTTGAAATCCTGTCTGGACCAGGATGAAACTAGGGCCCGAGAACTTCGTCCTGGGGTCCCGTGTGGGTGGCAGGATCCCAGTACTTGAGCCATTACTTGCTGCTCTCCAGCCACTGCTTCCTGCATTCACAGGAATCTAGAATTGGGAGTGAAGCCAGGCACTCTGATTCTGATTGTAGGTGTCTTAACCACTGTGCCAAATACCAACCCTTACTGTGGATTTTTTTAAAGACTTTTTAGGTGCATGTATTTTCACCAAAGTATGCATTTTTTTTAAGATTTACATATTTATTTTTATTGAAAAGTCAGATATACAGAGAGGAGGAGAGGCAGAGATTAAAGTCTTCCGTCCGTTGATCCACTCCCCAAGTAGCCACAATGTCAGAGCTGCACTAACCTGAAGCCAGGAACTCAGATCCTCTTCTCGGCTCTCCTCGACTGCTTTCCCAGGCCACAAGCAGGGAGCTGGATGGGAAACACGGCGACCAGGATTAGAACCAGTGCCCATATGAGATCCCAGGGCATGCAAGGCAAGGACTTTAGTCACTAGGCTTCTGCGCTGGGCCCCATAGTATACATCTTATTAAAGTTTTATTTATTTGAGAGGCAGAGAGAGGGGGGAGGAGCTCTCATCCGTTGATTCATTCCTCACAAGCCTGCAGTGACTGGAGCTTGGCCAGGGTAAAGTCAGAAAGCTGGGAACTCAATTCAGATATCTGTGGTGAGTGGCAGGAACCCAGTCCCTTGAGCCATCAGCACTGCCTCATAGGCTGCAATAAGAAGCCAGAGCAGGCAGGAAACAAACATTCCAATGAGGGCTATGAATGTTTTAACTGCTAGACTTAATGCCTGTCCCAACTTACCCTTTAATTCCATTTTTCCGTGACTTTTTTTGGTACATCTTAAAAATTTATAGGGAAGAAAATGGGAAGGCAGGAATCTTCTGTCTGCTAGTTTGCTCCCCAAAGAGCTGCAGCAGCCAAGTGTGGGCCATGCTGAAACCAGGAGCATGGAGCTCTGTCCAGGTCTCCCATATAGGTGAAAGGGGCCCAAGAAGTCGGCCCATGTTTTTGCCGTTGTCGTAGGTACACTAACAGGGAGTTGTATTGGAAGCATAGCAGCTGGGACTCCAGCCAACACTTCAGTAAAGGAATGCCATCATTGCAGCACACACAAGCTTGACCCTTCCATGAACGTCTGTTTATTTTTAAGGATTATTTATTTATTTAAAAGAAAGAGTGACAGAGTCAAATCCTCCATAGGTTCACTCCCGAAATTGCTGCAGTGGCCAGGGTTGGGCCAGCCAAAACTAGGAACCCAGAAACTGTCTGGGTCTCCCGCACGGGTGGCACGGGCCCAAGTACTTGGACTGTTTTCCACTGCTCTCCTGGGCGCAGTACAGGTGGGACTCAGACTGGCACTGTGGTGTGCCAGCATCGTGAGATGTGGCTTAACTTGCTACACCCTGGTTCACTCCTGATGGCTACAGATTGGAACTGAGCCAATCAGAAGCCAGGAGCTTCTTCAGAATCTGTCCCATGGGTGCAGGGTGCCAAGGCTTTGGGTGGTCTTCAGCTGCTTTCCCAGGCCACAGGCAGGGAGCTAGATGGGAAGTGGAGCTACCAGGACATGAACCAGCGCCCATATGGGATCCTGGTGTTTACAAGGCGAGGACTTTCGCTGCTAGGTTACTGTGCTAGGCCCAGATTTTATAATGATTTTTACAGAAGATTCTCATTGATGTGGGATGCTGGCCCCATCTTTGTGTTTTTGAGATCCAGTGATTGTACTGTACTGCAGTGGAGAGAAGTTTATCCTGTTTAACTCTGTCTTACACATGCTTTGTCATTAGAATTCTGTCCTTTTAAAATATGTATTTTCCTCAAAGTTATTTGTTTTTTGCTGGCTGTCATGTCTTGGTAACAGTTGTGTAGTAACGGAAGATGTCTTATTTCACAGCTTAAAGTTATGAAGTTTCAGGATGAATTAGAATCTGGAAAAAGACCTAAAAAACCAGGCCAGAGTTTTCAGGAGCAAGTGGAACACTACAGAGATAAACTTCTACAACGAGTAAGAAATACGTAGATTTATTTATTTTCCAAAACTATTTATCTGACCTTTTGAAAATCCAAATATTGGCTGATTTAAGAAAAGTATGTTTCAGTTATATCCTTTGATATGCAAGTGTTGAGCTTTGGTAGCTAACTGGAAACATTTGAAATCTCGTATTTTAGAACTATTTCAACTTGTTCTTCGAGCAACAAAATGAATTTCTTATTCTGGGTGCTTCCTGTGGACTAGAACATCAATACTGCTAAGGGCTTGCTTTCAAAACTGGCAGTTGCTTTTGGAAGAGTCATGTGTGTGATGACCTGAGGAACAGCATAAGAGACAAAGATGGAAGCAGGGTTTGTTTAGGACTTGGGACTCATTTCTCATTGTTTCCAAGAAAGGACAGCAAGGGGTAGAATACTGCAGTGCTAAATTCTAAGCTTTTGAAGAACTCTTGTTCGTACAACAGAATGCAAAGCCACATGCATAAGTTTGAGGATGAACAATTGAGAATGTTTAGTTTTTAAGCAGACATTTGTGGAAACTAGGCATACATAGTTTTTTCGTAATACATGTTCTCTGCTAACCATCTGTGTGGGAATATGCAGAGTTTAGGAACCTCGGGTGTTGTGTTAGGTCTCCTTGTGTAGCTTGAGCACCGCTGCCCAGCACTGCAGCGATGAAATGAGTTAATATGAGAGTGTCAGGCAGTCTGTCCTGTGATGCTGGCACAGACCGCTTGGAACGAGCAGCTAGCTCCTGCAGCCTGCTTGGTGGCTGTGAGGGTGTGGGTTGCTGAACTTTCCAAGACTGAGAATTTTTTATTACTGAATTAGAATGTTTAAAACATTTTGAAGAATTTAACTAATATGGTTTCTATACAGTATCCATTTCAATCAGGAATTAATTATCAGGGAAATATTTGCTATAGATCATCAAAGTCAATTTCCACACAACTTTTGAAAGTTGTCTTTTGTCTCATTTTGGAAAAAATCTATTCCTTGGGTCTCATTGCAGATGGCGGCAGTTTATTGACGCATTTACAAGAGTTGTACCCTGCAGTGCTCAGTAGTCGTAATGGTAGCAAGCTCAAAATGAACCATATGTCTGTTTAGCACTTCCACCTCCTTGTACCCCATGAGTCAAATTGAAAGGTGTGGTTCCTGAAATATGAGGAAACTTCAAAAAATTTGTGGGAAATGAATCTGAAAAAATGCTTATTTTGTTGCAGAAATGTTTACTATCTATATGTAGACTTCAAAAGTTCATGGAAAAAATTACTATGCATAGTTTTCAAAACTTCTTGCACCATGATAAGCATCTTTGCAATTCCCTTTGAATGTTAGGGGTCTCTAGGTACTAGTTTTGGCCTTACTTTGTAAGTTTTACTAGAATATAGCAGTGCTTGCTGGTGTATGTATTATCATGTCACACTGGAAGAGTTGAATAGTGAGTGAAAGCTTGTTCCAGATAGCAAAAATATGTTGTCTGGATTTACACACACCAAAAAACTACCAACATCTGGTAGAGGCTTATTTTTTACCTTTTAAAAGTTAAAGGAGTCAGCTATCAGCTTTCCTAGAGAATAAATTCTGTTTATTAAAGTATGCAATGAGCTTTGTATGTTCATCTTTTTTTTTTTTTTTAAGGATTTACTTTATTTGAAAGAGTCAGAAGAGTTATAGAGAAAAAGAGTATTCCATCCATTGATTCACTCCACAAATAACCATAGTGGCCAGGAATGGGCCAGACTAAAACCAGGAGCCAAGATTTTCTTCCTGGTCTCCTGTATGGACATAGGGACCCAAAGAATTGGGTCACCTGCTGCTGCTTTGCTGGGCACATTAGTAGGGAACTGGGTTAGAAGTGGAACAGCTGAGACTCAAAACCAGTGCCACATGCGGTGCTGATGTCACAGGCAGGTGACAAGTGGCTTAACCCATTACAACAGAAGTCCAGCCCTGAAAGAATCACCTTTTAATCTGATGAAAAAAACTTCATCATTATTTTTTGCTTGTTTGTTTTTATTGTTTATGGAGAGTGTGAGGGGGAAGAGCAGTGGACCCTAGAGTTTAACCTCAGATCCTGACTTCACTTCTGGCATAGTACTGAATCTTATTTTTGTCTGTGTGGACTATAGACACTTTTAACACACCACTGTTCCTAGTGAAACAAAATTCTATGCGCAGAGTTGTTGAGAAAGTTGCTTGGTTAACCTTTGACACTCTGTATTTAGCTGCTGTAATTAGTAGTGGTATTATCTGTGTAAGTAGAAGAAATGGCTAATTTTCCTGAAGAGAATTTTTTTTTAGTGGTATTGTACTTCATGCAGCACTATAAGAAATTATTTGCTATTAGAGAAAATAATTATGTAAGTGAGATGAACAAAGATTGGTATTTTTTAAACAACTAAATATTTTATTTAAAAAAAACAGGAGAAAGAGAAAGAATTAGAAAGAGAAAGAGAAAGAGACAAAAAGGATAAAGAAAAATTGGAATCGCGATCGAAAGATAAGAAGGAAAAAGATGAGTGTACTCCAACAAGGAAAGAAAGGTATGACAATTCTTATATTTAATCATTCATAGATTTTTTTTTAAGATTTGGAATGATGGTTTATTTTACAAATTTTTTTGTCAACATATTTGATGTCAAATAACTTTCTGAGAAGAAGCATGTTTGTCTCCATACAGGAGACAGAATGAGCTGACGTGTGGGGCAGTTAGTACTTGGTTTAACTGGGGCCTGTTCCCTTTACATGGTTCGTAGAATGTCCTTAGCCTTAGTTCAATGTAGAATTCAGTTACAGGATTAAGTGTCAAACCTGAGACTTAAATAACAGAACAGCTTGCTAGGCCTTCTCTGTTGCCTCCCTCCATAGAAGTTTTTCCAGTCTAGGTGCTGAGGCTGCCTACCTGTATACTTGAGTCCTTCAGTTGTGTCTTAAAAAGAGATTATGTACATAGGCCACAGGGACTTGGTCCTCATATTTTTTTATTCTTTTTTAGCTTTTATTTATTTCCTAAATCCTTGCTTTAGTAAAGAAAATTGCTCAGTTAACAGAACTGAAGTTTTTCTAATAAGAACCAAGTGATTGCAAATGAAAAGATTCTGGTTTGTAGGTAATACCGAAGAAGTTACTCTAATTGGTTAAATAAAAATAAACAATTTCAGATTTACAAGAAAAACGACAAGAATTGTGTAAAGAGTTCTGGATACCCTGGATACCCTTTACCTACAGTCTCTGAATGTTAGAGGATTTCTGCTTTTTTCTTCTTTTCTCTCTGCCTCTCTCCAACCTTTTTTTTTTTTTTTTTTCTCCTCAGAAAAGATGTTTGTTTATTTTTTTTTTACTTGTGTCTTTTTTTTTTTTCCTGCTTATTTATTTTAAAAGGGAGAGACAGAACTTCCATCTGCTGGTTGATTTTGCAAATGCTTGTGATGAGGCCAGGAGCACACTTCAGGTCTTCCACATGATGGCAGGAACCGTTACTGAAGCCCATTCCACTGCCTCCTAGGGGATGCAGGCGGCAGCTGGGTATAGGCTCTGAGGATCTTAACTGTGAGGCCAAATACCCATTGCCACCTGCCCTTCATAGGCTCTGGGGATCTTAACTGCGAGGCCAAATACCCATTGCCACCTGCCCTTCACCCCAGTCATTTAATATGATATCCCACTCTCATGTACACTTTTAATCACAATGAAACTACCAGACAGGAAAGTAACATTAAAAATATTACCCAGTTTGGAGATCTTAGTTGAATTTTATTAATTGTCCCAACAATCTCAGTTATAGGAAAGATTCCACTGTAGTTGAATTCAGTTATCTCTCAATTTTCAGTTATGTTTAACATTTTTACTGGGATAAAAGACTTTGAATGTTGTTGGAAAATACTTTATTATGATTAGTAAGAGTAAAAGTTACTGAAGACAGGCAGAAAATAATAGGCAATTTAAACAAAGGAAAATGAATACGGGTTCCTTGGCTCACTTTGGGGGCTTTGTTCCATAGGAAAAGACGACACAGTGCATCCCCCAGCCCGACTCGCAGTAGCAGTGGTAGACGAGTGAAATCCCCATCACCCAAATCGGAGCGATCAGAGAGATCTCACAAAGAAAGCTCACGTTCCAGGTCATCTCACAAAGATTCTCCTAGAGATGTTAGCAAAAAAGCCAAAAGGTAAATGCAAGTCATTTTTTGGTGATATTTTAAATACCTTGTCATTCTACCAGCTTTTGAAAATAATTTAATTGGCAGGCATTTTTTAAAAAGCATTTTAGAAAAGCAAAGATATTATACTTTCATTTGAAGTTATTACTTCCCACCCCCCGTCTGTCTTTATGACTTAATTATAAAAAGGGTTTCCAGTCAGTAAAAACTAGCCAAGAATTGTAAATAGCAGCAGCAGTGCTTTCTAGTAGATTCACGGGAGCTACTTTATACTTTTCATTCTGGTTTTTGCTTTTTGTTCTGTTTTGTTTTGTTTCTGTTAGGAGAGTCTCTGGTTATTCCAAAACTGAAGGGAGTATGTGTTTTTCTCTAAAGCAGCAGTGCTAGGAGTTCTTGGGTAGAGACAAAAAATAATACTACAGATAAAATTCTCTCTTCTTTCTAATTTCAAAGAAGTGGTTCAGAAGTGTTTTAATGTTTTTATTTTTCTGGTGGTATGTACAGAGATTTTCCTGAGAGTGAAGACAGTTGTATATTTTAGCACTTTATTTTGGGGGACCATTTTTAGTAAAATAATTTAAAAATTAACCTTTTCTAAAATGGCATTTGTGTGTGTGTGTGCACGTGCACGTGTGCATACCTGTATATAGTCATTTATTTATTTTGGTTACCTTTATGAAAAGTACTCCCAAAATATTTAACAATGTCCTTGAATGATATTGCAGTGGTTGATGCCTTTTCCTTCAAGGTAGCAGGCTGCAGAACTATGGTAATTTTACTTTTTGTAAGTGATCTCCCTTGCTATCTTGAACTTTAGCTTCTGGAGTAGAGGTTCAAATAGTGGCGCTATTGGTCACTAGGGAGCTGGTTCAGATGTCTCCGTCTCTGGCCCTAGAGATGTTGATGAAGTCGAGCAGGGGTGAGGCTCAGAAATTTATTCTCAACCAGCTTCTGTAGTGATGTTCGCTGATGCGTTGTATAGTAATTACCAAATAATTTCTGCCCTTCTACTCAGTAGGCAAAATGTAATTTTGAGAAATTTGATCTTATTTCAGAAAATTGGTCTTACTTTATTGTACTGTGTTAAAGATCATTTTAGGTAATTTAAGGAAAATTAGTTTTTATCACATGAATACTTTAATAAATTGGGGTTTTTGCTTATTTCTTCAGGTCGCCATCTGGTTCCAGGACACCTAAACGGTCTAGGCGATCACGGTCTAGATCCCCCAAAAAATCAGGGAAGAAATCCAGATCTCAGTCCCGGTCTCCACACAGGTCTCATAAAAAGTCCAAGAAAAACAAACACTGACAAAGTTTTTAAGATGCTGTCACTATTGGAAATGCGATTTTGTTTTGTGCCTGAATGGTCTGGTTTTTTTAAAAAAAAAAAAAAAACCTACAAAAAAAGTCAAGTGGAAGAGCATTCCTGGGGTTTTTGTTTGTGAATGCATGTGTAAACTCATGAGTAACGCATCTGTAGACATGTCATTGTTTTTTATTGTATAAATTACTTTCATTGTGGCTGTTTCTCAAGATGAAATTTTTATTGTGCTAAGAAGTTTCATCAGAAATGTGTATAATGGGTCTGCCGGCAGTAGTAGTATTTTGTTCTAGGATGTTGTGACTTAGCAGAAATAATACAGATGTCTTCCCCCCTTTTGTAGCTTTGACAATTTGAATTAGATTTCAAATAAAATCTGAACAGAAAACTGTAATGTTGTTTTTTTGCCCCACTGGTGATACCAAGTCCCTTGACGTCCCGCCTAGTGAGTTTGGCACTACTGTTGTGTTTCTTCTATCTGATGCACTTTACAAGCTCCAGTGTTCAAATAGCTCGAGTTTTATATTTACTAAGATGACTGTTGAAATCAAGGGACCCAAAACCCTGTTTGTTAGATTCGCTAATCAGTTTCTTCAGCAGTGGTCTCCTGGATGGTACTCACTCCAGAGATCGAGGCCTGGGTCCACAGGGCGTGGTGGTGGAAATGGATTCCTTTTTCAAAGAAACAACATGATTGTGTCCTGAGGAACTACTTATTTTTAAGTGAAAATTAAGTCTTCATCTATGATTTCTTCTATCATGAAAGAAGTATACTTATAAAAGAAACTTTGTAACAAGATTTGGCCATGGAATTCTTTTGTATGATACCTTTTTATAGTCTTCTGTGGGCTACCTTTCAACACTGGTATTAGAATATTTCTAAAAGTTTATAAAGTTTAAAACATCTTAGGTTTTACTTGTTTTGTATTTTAAGGATTTAGTTTTAGGTATAGCTTTAAGTAAAATGTGAAAATAAAATGTTTTTCAGGATATTTAACACCCAGTAGTTTATAAATTGAAGGTGCAAAAAGGTGATGTATATCATTTGCAGAGTTGAACTCTGTTGTGAATGAGAATACAATTGCAGTGTGAAGAATAAATAAGAAAACTTGTATAATGTTGATCATAGTATTTCCATAAACAGAATGTAATAAAGGGTTATATAGAGTTGAACTAACACTAGTATTTGTGAATCTTGCTTTCAGTTTTTCATTGAGGCAGTTTATACAGTGCTTTGAACTGTCCCTTTCTCTCCCATAAAGCAAGTAGACACTACCCCAATGATGAATTGTTTAACTTTTTAATATCTTTTCAGCTTGTTTTACTTAATCTTCCCTAGTCACAATGTAAGATATTTGGAGAGTGGCTGTAGAGTCTGAGTAGTGAGACAGGCTGTTCCCAACTGCATGAATCCACCACAGCTTGGGAAGTGAACCGTTCAGATCATCGGTCCTGAAAGTTGGTCAGGACAATGAAATGTAAATATGTGGTACAGATATTTAAAAACCTATAAATATAGCCATTTTGAAATAATATGTTTTTCTCTCCTGTTCATTGCCTGGGAGAATGGAATTTTATATAATATGCCTTTCTTTGCAAAAATAACAATAGTGTTTTGAGTTTTTGCCATTCTGTCATTTGCTGATATCTTTATAGACTTTGAAATAATGGTAATGGTCCAACTAAGCTGTAAGGGATGCTTATTTCTCGTTAAAAAAAATCCCAGTACTTAGCTGGCAGGGGAGAGGCCCTGATTGTGAAGGTGGCTTTCCCAGGGCGAGGTTCATCCATTGCACTCCTATGTGCTGACCCCTGCGTTTGCTCCAGATGTGGGCAGCTGCACACCCTGTGGCAGTGAGGAGCTGTGTTCGCACTCCCCCCTGGGAGGGGTGGGGCCAAAAAATTGGAAAAGCATGAGTGAGTAGAAAACAGTTTTGAATGCTTAATTTGTCCTATTTCTCACCCAATTTAGCAGTTCTATACTGGATCCAGATTCAGCTATCACAGCTTTTTAGCAGTGGAAAAAACTGGCTCCCTTTTGGAGTGATTAGGAATAGTTTACATCTACGAATATGCTCTTAAGCTTGGGAATGTTCATATTAGATTGGCTTGAGTTTTTTTTTTTTTCTTTTAATTACAAACAGTTAATTATTGTTAAATAGATAATTTCCATTTTACTCTGAGAAATTCCGTTGAGTAAGACTTCAGTTTTCTACATGGACTGTGAGAATTTGGGACCAGTTGGATAAGGGAGAAGAAGCAACAATCTGAAGACTACTCCCATGCCTTTAGTTACAGGGAAGATCTGTACGGAAGAGGAAATGGTGGTGTCTGCCTTCTGGCCTAACTTGTGTAGACTGGGCTTCTTTACCAGGTCAATGTCATCTAACTCCCCCTCTTACACACAGGGGAGCAGGTGAAGTGCTGGTCTGCTTAAGAGAGATCCTGCCTATGAACTTGTTTTCCTGGCCTTGTATTTTCCTTGTTGCTACTAAGCAATTGGCAGTTTCTGAATTGTAACATGTTGAGAAGTTACGGATTAAGTAACTAACTGCAACAAGCCCTGATCGGAAAGCTTTTATTTGGCTCAGAATGTTAGTGGCTTTTTAGCTAAAGTTTGCAGAAATTGGCTTTACCTTGAATTAATTTTGCTTTGTTGCAGGCCATTCATTGCTGTGGGTTTTACCATAGGACTTTTATCCTTTAGTTAGGATCTTGGAGGAAATCAATCTGATTCTGACTACATATGTGTCACCCCCAAATTTAATATTCTTGAGCACTTGAAAATGCTTTAAAGAGATTTTGATCAACATTAAATGTAGATTTATTGGAAATAGTCTGTATGTACACAGGTTCCTCCATAGTACTAGAAATTCTGGAAGATTACGTAGCCATGATAATGCTTTATTGTGACTAAAAATAAAGTCCAGTCAACCTCCATATCGCCAAAGTAATTTAAACTGTTCTGATGACCACAGCAGTGTGATTTTTGCCACAAAAAAGTTATTTATAAAGATACATAGTAACACTAAGAAAAGTGTTACTTCAAAAAATAAGTTTCTTTGTGTCCCCCTTTATTACATTTTAGAGGTAAAGCATTGTAGGTAGTTCAGCCCAATATCAGTGAAGGCACTGGTGTGGTGAAAGGACCATGAAGACATTCACAGAGTGCTGGGCTCTTTGTATTTCACATGCACGCTTTAGAATAAATTTTAGGGAGTGTTGAACACGTTGGAAGGACTTAGTTTAACACACAAACTCCCTGAGGAAGGAGCTGTTAAGTGAGGCTGCCAGTGGGGAAGGAGCTGCCGTTCCCAGGGGGCCGCAGTGTGTATTCAGCACCACCTCAGGGAGCTCTGATGTAAATGGGTTGTATGTATAGTTGGCAATTTGTATGGTTTTGTAGCTCTATAGATAAAATGCCCTCCTGCGTTTTCACCTGTAATTGTGCTTAAGATGTTTTGTTTTGCCTTTTTACTTCAGGCTCTGGTATGTTGTATTGCTATTGATTTGCAATACTAGGAAAATATTTTTTCAGAAGTGAGGATGCTGTAATTGACATCAGCTCAAGTGAAATACTGTGTGACGAGGTGGTTGCTTGGAGTGAACTGATGGCCTAATCAAGTGACTCCTGATGGAGGAGTCAGTCTGTGGAGCTGCTTTCCTGTCAGACTGATGCTTTATATGGTTTTTCTACATAAAGATTATACAGTTCCAAACAAAGGTTGTGAAATTTTCCTTTTGCTGTTTTTTGGTTTTTAATTACTTTAATAAAAGTGTTTTTTCATAGCAAACCTAGGCTGTTCCCTGTAATTTTCTCCATATAATTTTTCTGTCACAAGCCCACAGTAGATCAGTTTCCATCATGAAATAAATGATGTGCCACATGTATCAGTAGTAGCAAAATGTTACATTTTGTATGTTGAAATGTTAAAATCAAATATTTTTATAATAGAAGATTCTCTTGATACGGAAATTTCATTTCCTTACTGATTGCCCTTTAAAACATTGTTTCATTGAGGAAAATTTCAAACATGGAAAAGTATAGTGAGATGAACTTAGTCTTGAAAGGCAGTTAGGGAAAGATGGACATCTGTACTGCTTCAGTCCCCAGATGGCCACAGTCACCAGTGCTTGCTGTGGAGGCACCAGTGCTGGGCTGTGGAAGCCAGGAGCTCCTGGGGTCTCGGGTTGTGTGCAGGGCCCAGGCACTTGTACCATCTTGTGTTGCTTTCCCAGGCACATAAGCAGGGAGCAGGAGTGGAAGTGGAGCAGCTCATGTACCAGCCTGGTCATTTTTATGTGCACAGTTGAGTGATATTCAGCCGATCTTCACATTTTCATCTTAAAAAATTGAAAGTGTCTGCTGAAAACAACTGTTTTGGCCAGCCTCGCATGGCGCTGTGGCCGTTGGTATTGGGTTGGCTACTGGGTACCTCGGATACATGGATGTGAAGTCACAGTGTGTGTCTCTGAGGGCTTCGTCTGCATTGGCTCCTTTGGAAAGCACACCTTCTTTGAAGTTTGTACTTCATGAAATTTGAAAAGGATTTCCTCCAACTGGCTCATTAGCATTTCTAAGTTTCTTTTTTTTACAACTTGTGTGCTTCTGTGTCTCTTTAGTGATTCGTATTATGCAACTTCACATCAGCGCTTCATGGTGGGAAGTATAAAATGCACTTTAATTTTAAATGTGATGTAATATTGCATAGTGGTGAAGGAAAGGGGAAAACCTAGGCTACGGAGTTGAGATGTAAACACCAGTATAATCTTTCAGAATCTCACCTATGAAATGGGCCTGGTAACCTAGAGTGGTCACAAGTGGGTCATTGACATGTCATTTTAAATGAAATTATTTCTGGAAGCTAATAGGAACATCTTATAACTAAATCAATACTAACACCACAATTCTACAGCAATGCTGCCCACACAGTGTATTCAGATAACATTTTATCAATATATACTTTGTAGATTAATTGGCATATTTGCTGCATATTGGGTCCCACTTCACCCTCTGTTCTAGTCTTAGATGATGCCTAATCCTTAATCTTACAAGAAAAATCAGATTAAAAGTACATTTTGTGTTTTTCATAATTGTAAAATTGAGCTAACCAAGGTTTCTGGAAGGAGGAATCCTGTGATGGGAAAATGTAAACAGCTGAGACATGGTAGATGTGGGAAAACCTGGAGAACAGTGTGAAGTATGGGAAACACTGAGTTCTTCATCCAAGTTCAAAGGAAAAGGCTGAGCAAATGACCAGAGCACAGCAGGAGAACAGGTCTCACAGAGTGGGCAGAGAACGACTTCCTGAAAGGAAACAGAGCACTAAGTGATATGAGTGTGACTGGGCTTGGGTTGTGTGTGTCAGATTATGTAGCAGTAAGAAA